TGTGATCGATTTGTCTGTATTTATTTATGGCTCTTTTAGATTTTCTTTTAGTTTGGAAGTGAAGCAAATTTGTGGTCGGTATTTATGTATATATTCAATATGTAATATATATATTTATGTATATTATAAAATCTTTAGCGGAACATAAACTATATAATGGAAAAGCTGTAGCTCGATAGTAATAGATAATTTTCAAATGAGAAAAGTTATCGATTTTTAACTACATATATATTTTAAAAAAAATCAAGTATAAATATTTAATCGACTTTACATTTGGCTCTCTGTTGCCTTAGAATAAAATAGTCTCTTAAATATATTTTGTTCCATGCATAAACTCACCTTTAGCAGCCTTATCTCTCGCAATGCTATTTTCCGTATGGCTGGATCGTCTTCAGACTCGACAAATCTTTTGACGGCGACAAGTGCGCCCGTTTCCCGATCTCGACATTTGTAGACAACACCGTAGGAGCCCTCGCCCAGGCGACTGAGCTTCTCATAACGATCCATTTTGCTGCTACCTTGTGGTCTGAAATTGACATAAATATCAATTCAAATTGTAAACTCTATAAATCATATACAGATATACAAATACATATACATAGAGTAATTATTTAATAGATAGACATTTAGTTTTGAATAATTTAGCTTTACCTTAGACTCAAACATTGACCACGTTTGATGTTTGCACGGCGCATTGCTTTGCATTGGGTACATAGAATGCTTACGATGCTATTGCTTTGACACGAACACATGGGGGATCAGAGTCACATATGTATGTATGTATGTGGCATATATGAGCGGTGATCATTTGCTTGATGCTCTTAACTATTTACAGTTGTGCCAATTTTTGCTTATTGTCCAAAAGTTGATTTTGATTTGATGCGATTACGTTTCTGATTTTAGTTAGTGTTAGTTTTTTTTTGTTTTTGCTTTTTTTTTGATGAATTTCATTTGCAGCGAAAACGAATGAGATTAGAAAGTTTTAATGAGTTATTGAAATGGCAGTGAAGGAGTTTGTTGAGCGAAAGTAGAGAAAATACAAATATATTTTGTGCAGATAATTGTTGGAATTTAATATAGAGATTCTGATAGCCTGAAATGGGAAATCTGGGTATAATGCTTATAAATAATAACTGGCTCAATTTGTTGCTTGTGTTAAGGGAAACTCTTATATCAATTTATCGCAAAACTTATTTATTAATTAACTAATTAATTGTTGAATTTTCCCTATCTTCTATTCAATTTTTAAGTATTCATAAATTTAATATTATATAATATATTTAATATATTATATATATATTTATGCACTTCGATTTGTCTACAGGGTTCTATAGGTTTGAAATTCTATTAAACTGTTATATATCGAGCTATATATATGCATATCATTTTATATTTTATGTTCTTTTATATATTTTTAATATATATAATAATTTTAATGTAATTCTTATATGTTAACTCCGCTCTTCTTTGATTCTTGATCTATACTTGGCTGTTTTCTTTAATTCGGCTCATAGTCTATACTTTCTCTGTCTCTTTTTATCATCTCTCTGTCTTCTTCTTTATGGAATATATTTTTCTCTCTTTCTCACTCTCTGTTCTTCTAATGCTGATCAAATTTCTGTGATTCTGTGTCTGCTGCCCTTTCACTTGTTCAATTTATCCCTCTTTCACTTTGTATAAATTATATCTCTCTTTCTCTCTATTTTTCTCTCACTATTGCT